ATGCACATTGGACTGATGACTGAAAACTTACCCTGTTTAGGCAGTATGGATCCAAACATCTCAATTCCTCCCCCTGTCAGAACTTTTCATTTGGTTCGTTGTTGCGAATCGATGTTGACACCATAGTTGCATTGCAGCATGTGGACAGGCAGTCAGAGTCTGACAGTCTAGAGAGCAGAAAATGAGGCTGGGAAAGGATCTGTCTGATCGCTCTGCATGTGGTAACAATGCGTGCCTGCAGCTAATCACCAAGCAAAGGTCAAAGTACAAGAATATGGAGTTCAACACCCAGTTCACAGCGTCTGGAGCGTCAGTCTGACAGCTGGGCTCAGAAACTTGTTTTATTTTCTACTATTCTTCACAGTTTATTTATATTTGGAAAACAAAATCAAAACTTCCTTTCACATTTATAATTTAGGAACGGTTGATTTGGAGGTACTTGATGATGTGAATCATTATGTTTTGTAGCAGTTTCAATCTAAATCTAAAGGACATCACAAATACCTTTTTCAACTCTCAGCAGCTCTGATTCATGACACTAAGATTGTTGAGTTTAAACTCCATCTACTGATATAAAAAAAAAAAATTTGTGAATAAACCTGAAATTTCATTTTGCAAATTTAGTCCACTTTCATACTTAAGCCCAATTCACACATACTCCGGCACTACGCTCTGCTCTGTTTCAAATACGCAGCGAGTCTATTTTCGCCGTAGAGCGCTGCAGGACAGAATACACTGTAGTAACGCTGGACAGAATATGACAGCCCGGACAGGAAGTCAGACAAGGAAACGCACAGAGCATCCGGTCAATTTCAAAATAAAACACAATATACGGACTTGCGATCATATTTTTCATCCCTTTATCAACATTACGTCAAAACAGGAACCGAATTAACAACAATGCATCCTCAGAAAGACAAAGCAACATGTTGTTTGCATGTTTTTCTCTTTATTCCCGCGGGATCTAGTAGTTCTCCTGTGATGTGTCATGGGTGCGCTCCGCTGCGCTGATGTCGCAGACACGGATCCAGTGTGAATGGGCGCGAGCCGTCCGACGGAGCAAAACCATGGTGCTGACAGACCACGGTGCGCACGGAGTATGTGTGAATTGCTGGTTAGTATGACTAGTACGTCCTATGCCATGTCCCCTAAAACACCAATCCCGGTTCATTGTTTAAAATTGATAAAAAATCAGTCTAAGTTTTATTTTTATTTTGTTTCATTAACACAAACCATCCCTCATATCATGTTCAATGTGGTAGAGTTGGTCGTCTCTCAAGTGGAAGGTCTGGGATTTGATCCCCATCTTCTACAGCAACATGTCCAATGTGTCCCTGGCCGAGACACTTAAGCCCAAGTTGCTCCTCCTGCTTCATCTGTGGTGGAAAAATGTTTATGAATGGGATTAGTTAATACTGATGGTCACTTTACATGACCATCAGTGTATGAATGGGTGTGACAGGGAAAGTGTGACCTGCGGTGTAAAAGCCCTTTGAGTAGTCAGAAGACTGTAATAGCACTATTCAAGCTTAAATCCATTTACTGTTCAATCACAGATTGGTTGCATCATTAAAACCTCAAAGTCAGCCAAATCAGCAGATTGTCACCTGAGAACAAATCATAGATGTGATAGATAGATCGCAAAGTTAAAGTAAAAGAGCAAACTTTAATTTCTCCCATCATACAAAACTTTCTGCAGGATTTGAGAGGGTTTCTATGGCAACTAAATGGAAGAGTAACTAGGCCAAAAGGTCAACTCTGTGGATTTCAGTCGCTAAACACATCATTTGCTTCTAAAGTCTAATTCACACAAAATGTAGCTCTAGTGATATTCAAACACCCCCCCCCCCCAAAAAAAAATGTCCCTGCTCTGTGCAGTTTTGCTCTTATATTGCATGAGAATGTGGAGAGAAATGATCTGCAATGGTTCTGTGCTCTCATGCAGATGCAGCCAGATTTTCTCCAATAAAAGACAACGAGCTAGTGCAAGAAGATGTGTATGTACTAAAATAAATAATCATGCAAATTTGCTTTTGCTGCATTAAACAGAACTACAGTGAAACATGCAGTCCACAGATCGTGTGTCATGTGAATTCGTAGCTCTGACACCTTCAGTCTACCTTATAGCTTGTGATGATTTTCCCTTCACCAGATCCTCTTCACTCTGCTGGATCACTGTACAGGTGAGAAGTCTAAGCAGTGGTGATGAGTTTACTTATCCACAGTTACTTCCTTCACATTGAATCATAACATCATGCTGGGGTTTGATCAAAAGTGACTTTGTACATGTTGACTTAATGGCATGATGTTAAAACAAAGTATGTGATCATTCTTTATCACATTTAAACAAAGTCTACTCCTGACTGAGCTTTATTTTGTTTAGCCGACAGCAAAATCAACTCGGAGTCGATTCCATTGTGGATCATATTGTTGTGATTGAGAGCCCCCTGGCGGTGGAGTTTACATAGCCTACTGTGTGTTTAAGTCCCAGATGCTCCTCATATTGCATCTAAAGAATAAAGTGAAGTCCCACATACTGCTGGTAATGCGTTAGTAGTGGCAGATACATCACCTTACATCTGCACCGACATGCAGGACAGACAGATGAAAAATACTTCTGTCCCGACTGACATCATCCTTTCAAATAGTTCAATGTTTTTTATTTATTTATAGCCATTGCCCTTTTTAATCAATCTAGTGTGTTTTCGGATGTATCCTACATTTTCTTTTATGTGTGATAGTTTGTATGGTACTGCTGGTTGTATAACAAATTGCTCCACTGGGATAATAAAGATATCCTTGACCCTTGTTTTAATTATCATCAGCATTAAATTGAGAATAAGTTCACAGGGTTATGTAATTATTGTTACTGTATATCACTACGAGATGAGATGCTTTGCACAAACGTACCCTCAGCATCAGTGAAATGTGAGCCGATAGAGAGTGACTCCTCTTACCTCTGTTGAATCAGGGTGAGCACCAACAGTCAACCCAGATGACTGAAGCACACCCACCTCTTAATCATCGAGCGTGAGCTTCTCTAGCCTTTAGTGTTACACTTTTGACCTGCATGGCCTTTTTTTGCTGACAATACAGGGAATAAAGCGCTCGTGTCTTTCAGTCAAGCTTCTCTTCACAACTTTAAACTTTTCATCTTTTGCAGAGCTTTGATGGGGATTTGGAATAGTCAGCATCCTGCAGGTGCCTTCTACATATTTAATGTTCCTCTTTGGAGGAAAAGAAATGAATTTCTCCTCATTGGCACAGAGGAGAGGGAAATGAACACCAGCTTTGTACAGTGGGGAGATTTTAATTGATAACAGAGAGCATTGAATTGAGAGGGGACCACTGAACAGTGTTTTTTTTTTTGAGTATTTTTATGTTAACAATAATTGAACAGAGGTCGATGCAGTGACTAACTAGTCATGGTGATCTCCTAGATGTCAACAGGTTGTCAGTTGGCGTTAAAGTTGCCCCTTTTACATTGCCTCACAGAGACATCATTCCTGGTTCACTAAGTTGTTTTTGTTGTTTTTTCTATTTTGGCTTGCTTTGTCATTCGAGCAAAAATAATTGTATCATAAGAGTTCAGACCTGATGGTTGTTAGAGATTAGCAATGCAAAATAATAATATTGATACACTTAATAAACGTACATTTTTCTCCTGCAACAAATACACTAAATAATACAGTTTTCCCTGCATCTAAGAATATTGTAAGAGTTCCTCTTTCACCAAAGAGTTCCAGAGTGAAGGAGTACAACTTGAGCTGAGACAAATCAGAATCGATGGAGTCATTTTGGATTCATTAGACGTAGACGGAGATCTCTTGGATCTGGACCACTGGCACAAACTCACGAGCATTAGGCCAAATGTAATTACACATCTCTCCTGCAAGAGCTTTTTAGGATTCAAAGTGTCTTTCTGAATATTAATAGAGTATTTTATTGAAGAGGTGGGTTCATTTTTTTCTTTTTAAATCATATTTTTTAGATTCTAGCGGAATCCTTATTCACCCCAAGTTCCAGCCCTAATATATATATATACTTGCTGTTTGTCAATTTAAAAAGAAATAATTGACTCATGTCAATCCTACTTATAGATTTCAACCAAATAAGTATAGCATTTGTAGGAGGATGGGGAGAGAGGCCCTCTTGCTATGTTGTCATTTTCATGGGGCAAAACTTTCAAGACAAATTTTAGGACATAAAGAAAAAACTACTTCACTTTGTTGAAAACTGTAGCTATGTAAGATTGAGGGCAGTCAAAGATTTGAATTTAATCAAAAAATGTCAATAGTTAATCACGATGAATCACATTTTAATTGCGTGTTTGAAATTGAAAAAATAAATGTTAACCTTCTATTTTGAAATGTCTTGTATAGCTCTTTTCTAGTATTCTGAAAACTCGAAGTGCTTTTACACCGCATGTCACACCTACACATTCACACACTGATGACAGAGGATTCTATGTTAATTGTCCATCATGTCGCCCCTGTGGACAAAGCAGTACATTTGGCTGTAAATTCAACGAACTGCAGGGTTTTACATTGGCTTCAATATCCAAAACCAGAAGTTGCTGCTTGGTATAAACCCATGTAAAGCTCCTACAAATATTGTAGAAAGAAGGGTATGGAAATAATATAATCATGGTAACGTACACAATTGTCATGAAGACTTCAATCAGTTTAGGAAAAGAGCATTAGAAGCATCTAATGTGATGTCAATAATGCAATAAAAAGATGAACTTGCTAAACCATGAAGTAGATGAGATAGAGAGGAGATGAGAGATCCAATGTAAACAGAATATGTCCAGAGCATTGGAGAAAGTCAGAGAGAGAGTGAACACAAACAAACACATCTACAGCAGAGCAGTGCATAATGGAAATACAACTGCAAAGACTAATGGAAGAAAATCACAGAAAAAATGTGAAAAACAAATTTGCAGTCTCCAAATGTAATGAAAGAAAAATAGAACAAAACAAGGCTTTCATAGATCTGGGTCCTGTTGTTAAAGTACTTTAATAAGAACATTATGATTCTCTATGACATGATGAGGTGATGAAGGAAGAGCTGGTTCTAATCCTCCAGGGAGTACCTGATAATTACAGAACAAATCACAACAAAACACAGCTGTGTTCAGGCCGTTCATTCTGAAAGGAAGAATCTTAGGGGGAGAAGAGAGAGGGCTCCTTCCTTAAAAAGGTAAAGATTATTTGCAGATATGAAGATTTTAAAACAACACCCAGTTCACAGTGTCTGGACCACCAGTCTGACAGCTGGACTCAGAAACTTGTTTTATTTTCTATTATTCTTCACAGTTTATTTATATTTGGAAAACAAAATCCAAACTTCCTTTGAAGTCCCTCCCTTCCATTCACATTTATAATTTAGGAACGGTTGATTTGGAGGTACTTGATGTGAATCATTATGTTTTGTAGCAGTTTCAATCTAAATCTAAAGGACATCACAAATACTTTTGTCAACTCTCAGCAGCTCTGATTCATGACACTAAGATTGTTGGGTTTAAACTCCATCTACTGACATAAACAACGTGAATAAACCTAAAATTTCATTTTGCAAATTTAGTCCACTTTCATACTTGCTTCCTATGCCATGTCCCCTAAAACACCTATCCCAGTTCATTGTTTGAAATTGATGAAAAATCAGTCTAAGTTTTATTTTTAAATAAAAAGGTAAAGATTATTTGCAGATAAGAAGATTTTAAAACATGAGCACCACCACACTCCATGTATTACTTAGACCTAGTCCACATGTAGGCGGGTATTTTTTAAAACAAACGTTTACCTCCTCCGCTTCCCTTCCACACAGGCTTGTGTTCTCAGAAACAGCTTCATCCACATGAAAACACACGGTTTCCTCAGCAAGGATGAAAGCCTTCAGGTATTAAAAGGTCATGGGCAGAAAATAAATGATGCATTAGGCAGCTTTTCAACAAGGGTTTCAAATTGAAAAAAGCATTAACAGGAGTGGTAAAGCATATTGGGTGTCAGTGGTAGCAGCGGTCAGTGCAGCTGTCTGACATTTTACTGCGAGAAATCAACTTGTTTTTTTCTTTGCCTAAACAGTCACCAACACAGGGAAACTGTTTTCTCACTGGCTGTTTTAAAGTGACAAAGAAATACTGGTTTGGGGTAAATTAGTCACGACTTTAGGCTGGACTACAGTCAAGGTGTAAAAGGTGAGTTGTATTCAGAAAAAGCAGGTAGGGGAGAAATGAAGGGGTAGCTGGTAGAGGTTGTGCTGGAGAATGACTTGGTGGTCCAAGATGGTGATGGCTAGCAGGTAGGCTTGTTGAAGTGACGAGGCTGGTTGACAAACTGAAGGTCGTGGAGACAGGGAGGACAGGTGTACCAGTATAGCATGCTAACAAAGAAGAGGGCAAGTCTGACTTTCTGAGGCTAATCTGGAGCTGGATTTGTAATACAAGCAAAATGTGTATGGTACAACGATCCAGCACAGACTGACTGTTGGGGTTCTTTTAGGAGTAGTTGATTGCTTGATGATGGGCAGGTGTGTTGATTGCAGATCCATTACAGGTGAGCAGAGTGAAGACAGAGGGCAACGAGGGGGAGGGGAGGAGAAAACACAACACACACACACACACACACCTCCATGCAAACAGATGTCATGGAGGAGGTACTCTGACCAAGTTCTCATGTGAAGATAAAAATGACTGAAGTGCTAGTGCAGAGTGCTATAAAAAAATCTAAGCTAGTTTAACCTCAGCAATCTGTGTTTTCCCATTGATATATATAAATCATATCATTGTGTCCAGGTAGTGGAGGTGTACTCTGTATAAAGCAATACCAATGTTAAGATATCAGATGACCTGTGTTTTCTGTATTATATGAGTGTCAAAATGAAATACTGTAAGCTGCAAATGTACATAAAAAATTACAGATGAGGGAAGGGGCCCTGTTATGACTGCGAAAGTGGAAATCCAAAGATGAAGTTGTCAAAAAAAGTTACACTTAAAGAATAAGAAACAGGAGTAAATGGTCTGACTGTTGAGATGATTATCAGCCAACGACAAAACATTAATTATTGACATTTGAAAGAGGGAGTCTTTCAAAGGACTCAACCTTGAATGACCTTTGCATAACATAAAATTGAAGGATTATAAAGGGTGCAGTGTTGCATAGATATTGAGTTAATGAAGATGTAAAGATACATTTAAATAGTTCTTTCCGTTTGTGTCTGCCTCCCTCGAGTAGATGGTAAGATAATCATTGGTTGATTTATTTTCTCTTTTTCAAACTAAAACTCAGTTTGTTTGGTTTTTGCTCTCCCTCTTGATTTCATCTTTTTTTGTGTGTTTTGCTTTTTTCCCTCATGTGAGGGTAATGAGGACACAGTTTTAGCCTGCCTGGTGTCCCTTTGGTCAGATTAGGCAAATGTTTAACTAACACTATTTAACCTTCGCATTTCTTGAATAAAGAATGTTGTAAATGCAGTCCTTATACCACTTACCCTATACATTCTGTATACGCCTTACCTGGCCATAAATGCTGAGAAACAGGTACTGCCACTTTCTTTATTTGACTTCCTGTTCTTGCATCTCTTTTCTATCTGTCCATGTTGTTGACATAATTACATTTTTTTAATCCTTTAATGTCACATTTACATGAATGTTTCTGCTTCTTACAATTGACACAATCAACAGAAACATCTGGAATACTTGTCTCGTGAAATTTTCCACTAACTGTTATTCCACACTGCGTAACTCACTGGAACTATTGCAGCATGTTTTTTTCCCCTGTAAAAAGTTGCTAAAGTAGTTTCTGTGGCAATATGAAGTCCTTTTTAGTGTGTCAGTGGATGACATGCAAACAGTGTTTGATTGGATTAGGCTGGGAGCAGATAATGAGACCAAACCAGTCTTTGAAACCATCACACATCACACAGTCAGCAAGCCAAATTGTTGCAGCAGAGGACTCAAAAATTGTGCGCTGTCACCAGCTTGAAATGAAGCTAATGATTCCTGTGGGCTCATTTAAGTGCTGCCGTGGCTGCTGCTGTCAAGAAAAAGAGAAAACTAAAAGAAACACTTTGAGTTACAAAAAGAGTTGGGAGCTCATTTCAGTTATATATTTGCATCCTTTTTGTGCTGAATAAGAGGCAGAGAGGGCAAATGAGACCAAAACACCAATATCGCTTGATCTCTGTGTTTTGAATTTTATTAATCCCTGATGGAAATTCTGGTTTTACACTCTGTTATTGAGAGACATGCTCCTCACACACAAAGGCCCGAAACACACATGTACAGACAGGAGCTGTGGACATGAATTAGTGGAGAGATGTCAGAGTGGGGCTGCTACACAGAGAGCACACAGAGCGGTTGGGGGTTCAGTACCATGCTCAAGGGCACGTCTGAAAGGACCTAGCACCTCTCCAGCTATCAGGACCAACTTCTATATTATGGTCCGCATCGGGACTTGAACCGTGCCCAACCCAAGTCTCTACGGACTGAACTACTGCCGAAGCGGGGAAATAGATGGACCTGCTGAAATGTTTTTAGTCCTGTTTCTTTGTCAAATAAAATAAAATATGCACAAGTTTAACTAATGTAGCAGATATAAAATAAACCCACATTTAAGAGGCAATCGGGCCTCGTGTGGACATGGACTGATGCCATTTGAAACTCATCGGCTGTTAAACAGATCTTTATATCTACTACAGTAAAGTGGAAATGTAACATTTTGTTACGTTTTATGTGCGCTTGTCTTCTTTTTGTTGCTGCTTTTTTTAAATTCCCCTGCACCTGTGTGATGGGAATACAACCATCTGTGAGACTGAAATCAGTAACAAAACTTACAACGATCAGAGCAATCACACTGTAAACAATGAAATTAAAATTAAATGTTTAGAGCCTTCTCACAAGGAAAAACCTCAAAACAAAAACTCAGATTCCAGATTCCAGTCCATTTAGGCAGATAGTGGACAAATACACAGCAGAAAACTCTGGGAGATGCAACCATATGGTGTCAGTGGTTGTAAAAAGAGATGAGAAACATGTTTGAAGATCATAACCAAACTGCTTGTTGGGGATGATGAAACCCTGAGGTAAGCAGAATGCAGTCCCTTCCCTGTCACAGTCACACTTGAGACAGTCAAAGCCAAGGTGACAGTGATAGATTTTTATCTGCAGCCAGCCGCCTACCGCCTTTTATCTGAGTTCTCAGGGGTGCTGTGACGAAACTGGCCACAATGTTTTCCTCCTCTCTCCACCCCCATACTTCTTATTTCTTCATCAGTCCCTTTACCGCCTTTTCATCCCACCTGTTTAATCCCCTTTAAATCTCTTTCTTTTTTTCCTTTTTCTTTGTTGAAATGTTTTCCCTCATCCCTGATCTGATTTTGTTTTGTGTCTAACGCTGTCTTCCATCTATTCCTCTTCTTTTTAACCCATCTCCAACTTTCCTCTGAGTTAGCTTTCAACCCTTTTCAACCTTGAGGAATCAGCCAGTAAAAAAACACAAGGATTCCTCATGCTCCTTTTTGAAAAAGTTAAAAAACTTCATTTGTATAGCACTTTTCATACAACAAATGTATCACAAAGCGCTTTACATCAACATAAATCAAACAGCAACAACATGACTCCCTCCCCCACAATCCAAAAACTAAGGTAAACTAACTAGATAAAAACAAGTACTGAGAAAACGCTATCATTAATTCTAAATAAAGGAAACACAGGAGGTTAAAAATGTAATAAAACTAGATGAAATTATATTCAGTTAAAAGCTCTTCTAAAAAGGTAGGTCTTGACTTTGCTTTTAAAAAATGTTACATTGTGTTCTGCCCTCACAAAAGTGGCTGATGCATGTTGGGCATCTTTCTCAAATAAACCTGTTGAGAGATGCTCTCTTCTGTCCTGACTCTTCTTTGACAGGAATCATAATTGCTGACCCAGACTTTAGAACTTTCTCAAGTCTCAGCTTTTGTTTTGGACGTGATAGAAAAAAAAAGAAACAGCCAAATCATTTGAACTGCTTCAGATTTCATAATTTAGGGAGAGTGAATGCTTGATTAAGAAGCTGTGATTTCATGCAGATCATTGGAGAGATTCTGTTAAAAAAAAAAAAGAGAGATTATGTATCCTCATACGTCCCGGCTAAATATTCTCAGTCCTTTTTAGCAGTTCATCTTGGAGCTCATTGTCGGCTTAGCAGCAGAAATCTGTCCCTGGCTGACATTATCGAGACGTCTAACTCTGCCAGAGATTATCACATCAAAACCAGCAGGATAAATTGGCTGTGAAACTTTATATTCTTTTTAATATCATATCATATCAGCTGGTGTCAGCTCATCTGTATCCCATTTAAAACCCAAGGTTACGTCAGCCACTGTACCGCATTACAGCATCACTTTGAGCCTTGATGCATTATTGAGAAAAATAACTGACTGAACTCAGGGCTGGACAGAACTCCCTTTAACATATTCTCTTTTTATCTTTAAATTAGAAGCAATGTGTTCCTCAGTCCTTAAAACATTATTTAAACCAGGAGCACCAGATACAGAGACCCTGCAGGAAGAAAGTGCATCTTCTGGTTCAATTTGTTTTCCATGATCAGCTGATTTATTTCCAGAAAGCCTACAGATCTGTCTGCACTTCCTTCAGTGTTTTAAACGGCTGATTTGTCTCTTAACCCAACCTCTCCATCCCCGAAGTTCATATAAAGTTTATAGACTAAATAAACAACCTGTTTGTTAAATTAAAAAGTAATAAAAAATACAAATGTTCCTTAACAACACAATATAATTTTAAAAAAGGGATTATTTTCTACATAACAAAATGACATTTTTACTATGACAAGCAGATGGCTGTAAGGGAAGTGATTCTAATCAGACTCTAGAGGACAAATTGTAACCATATCAATCTGCAAAAAGATGTTTGGCATTTGTCCATTTACCGTGGGAAAAAGAGAAAGGCGGTTAAAAGAAGAAAAACCTGTACGCTAAGGCAGAGAAATCTACAAAACTGAGCACATGAAGTAGTCATGTGACAGAACGTGGTTTTGGATACAGTAGTCTTTTTAAGACTGCTGAAAAGAAAAGACAATGTCAACAGACTCCTGCAGGGACGAGGGGAGCAGGTGCTGCACCGATTCATGCGGCTCTTTTCTCTGTGGCCTCACTTCACCATCTAGAAAAGTTCAGTTTAATGGGAATAAGAACAGCTAGGTTAGCTCAGGAGGCTATAGAGTTAGCTGCTGCTGTTAGTCCTCTGACTAGATGGCATCGGTCTATTTGTTTAGCAGAGTAGCAGAAGGGGTATGACTGGTATAAAGAAAGCAGACTGACCTACATTACAGACAAAAAAAGATTTGGAATCAAGTTATTTACTGTACAATGTCTGTTATTTTGGATACTGGGTAGGTCAGAAGTGTGAGGGCTGGTGACTCTGGTTCTTCAGTCTTCAGAGTCAGAGGCAACATGGC